GGAATGGGGGGAGCAGGGCACTAATCCACCCAGGGGGAGAGGATTGGCTATGTCCCCACAGAATTGGGAGTGTGCATACAGACCCCACCGAGGCTCACCAAACCAGGAGTAACCACAGGGAAGACTGCATGAAAAGATTGGGCTACAGGGCCAGCCCCAACCAGAGCCAGTCTGACCCCTACCATAGAAGTATGTGCAACCCTAAACCTTCAGGTGGGGGAAAGGAGCCGACTTACCATGCCCACATGATAGCAAACCAAGAAGGGAAAAGAGAAACGGACAGTCGACCTAGACTCCATGTTGGCACACCACGTCTGGAGGACGATGTCTATCCACGGAGCTGCTAAGGCACAGAGAGGACTGTAAGACCGCCAGCAACTCAAGACGTGTTGTCCCCTCACTGGAGCGTACTGCGACAGAGGACAATAATGGGGCCACACAGGGGAGATAGTGTGGCCTGAATCCTCCGCAACAGGACAAATCAAGAAGGGGGCATAGGGGGTCAGCAATTAGAGCAAAGCCAATCCACGAAGCCCCCAAAGAGCCTTCAAAATAGGCTTCAGGCTTGGAGAGACAGCCTCAGAGCTCCCCCAGCCCCAGTGGGGACAGATTCATAAAGGCCAGTGGACAGACATGGTACTATGTATGGCTTCTTTTTTCCTTTTTTTTTTTCTTATTCTCGCCTTTTCCTTTTCTTTTTTCAACCTTTTGTTTTCCTATTGTCTGGCCTAGGACATTGCTGGTCTGCTTACTTATGTAAGACAGGCATGGGAAGCAAGCTCTGGGAGAAGCAATGGGGCCAATGGCCCCCAGAGGATCTTGAGGGGAGAAGGTTGTTGTGGGTAGGGTGTGGTAAGCACATAACACCATAGACAAGGAAACAACTAGGGAATCAAAACCAAAAACTAGGAGGTTGTAGAGATCCTGTGGATATTAGCGAAACACCAATCTAATTGAGAGGAAGTACTAAGAGGTGGAAGAAGGGGGGGCATGATGTTGTGACAGGAGGAGGCAAATGAAAACAAAGGAAGGCTCTAGGAAGCAAAGCTATAGACAGAGATTTGTACTTATGTAAATATATTAATCCATAAAAATATAGGTATTGGTCTATGTACATATATTTATAAGGCAATACACTGAGGCTGTGGGTAGGCCTTGGGCCTCAGCTCATACCCTCCCACAATACAAGAACACTTTGTTCTAACAAACTGGCATTCGGTGATGCTCACTGATCCCACACAATCACTGAAGACAAAATGGGTGCATAAGCAAATGTGGTATAGAAAGCAATGGTGCCTTGCTATTAAAAGATATAGCGTCTGGGGTCTTAAAGGCTTGAGGTTAAATAAGTGGCCTTCCAACAGTGAAGCAACAAGCCCACATGGAAGAAGTACACCAGCTGGTGCGATCATGAGGTGTCATTGGGCCTGGGTAAAAGGCATCAGAAGATTCATAACAAACAACAAACAAAAATGCATTGTTGAGAACTAGGGGGCCAGAGCAGAGACCCAAAGTCCATTTGTAGACAATGGAATATCCCCCCACAGAGGGGTCTCAGGGAAGGGATGAGTCAATCAGGGTGCAGTAGAGCACCAATGGATCACTCAATATGTCTCTGGTTTCTTGAAGTTTCCTCCCTTTCCCCCCTCCCACCTCCTATCATGACCCCAGTGCTGCTTCCCACTCTGGACTGGACGGGAACATGTACATAGGGATAGACAAGAGATAAAGCTCGTGACACACGGAACCAGGAACAGGAAGGGGAATAGTGATACCAAAAGGGTAGGGGGAGGGGGAGAGGAGGGAAAGAAGGGGGCACTAATAGCGATGAGTGACACTTAGCTACACACACCCTTCTAGGGGGAAGAACAACAGAAACCAGAGGGGAAGGGAGACTGGTCATTGCGAGATATGAAAATAATAACAATTTATAATCTATCAAGGGGTCACGAGGGTAAGGGGGCGAGGGAAGAAAAGAAGAGCTGATCCCAAGGCTCAATAGAAAGTCAATGTCTAGAAAAGAACGATGGCAATATATGTACAAATATGTCTGGTACAATTGATGTATGGATTGTCACGAGAGTTGTAAGAGTCCCCAATAAAATTAAAAAGTCAGCAACCCTGGAAATAGAATTAACTGGCCTACATCTTGGATGATTTCATCATTCTTCTTTTTGGAACTGAAAGTTAGATCAAGTATATAAGTTAAATAATCAAGGTACTTCCTTAACACTGATTTCTTCAAGCCACAGAGTGGTAATGGAAATATATTAAGTGTTTAATTACCTTTTAAAAAATTAGGATGGGTGAAAATTAATATAAAGACAAGTAAATGTGAATTTCCAATTATTGAATTAAATTCATATCTGCCATATCTTACATTTTTAAAATATGGCTTTCTTTTGAAAAATTTTCAGAATAGTATATAGCAAGACCTACCTGCTCCTCTCGGTCTTAATTCTTTTAATATTCATTTTCCAGATAACAAATATTTTATTAACTCTGAAAAGAAAAAACATTTCTTATTTTAGATTTTTAAGAATATTTTAATACAGAATATATTTAGTAAAGGCTTAGAGATATTAGAAACTTCTCTAGAATGTTTTCATTCATATTCTAAAAGTACTAAAAATATAAATAAATTTTCTCCCATGCTGTAAACCGCATATAAAGCAAAATATAAATCTTAATAAAAATAAATAAGTCACTATAACTCTGATAGTTGCATAGTTCACTTAGTTGTAACATTCCAATAAGTATAAAATACATTATTTTCCTTTTATAGTACAAAAACATCTGCAAAAGCTGGAACCTGTATAGGACAGAAACTCAAATATTTTCCACTAAAAATAGCAATAGAGAAGTGGTAAAACTGAACCTTATCACAGTGGAAAATTTGCGATACTTGGGGGAAAAAAAGGCAGTCCCATTGAGTTCCAGTTCTCACAGGTTGAAAGGAATACAATTTATGTACTATAATTGCCAAAAGAAACTCATTACTTTAACTGGGGGAAGAGACAGTCTCTTCAACAAATGTTTCTGGCAAAATTTGATATCCACTTGTAGAAGAATGAAACAGGACCCACACCTTATCCCATCTACAATAACAGAACTCGAGATGGATTACAGAACTACATGTAAATCCAGTACTACCGGTAATACTCTAATACTACTATAAATAAGGAACCATGATGGTATGGTGGTTATGTGTTGGGTTTTGATTCATAAGGTCAAGGGTTCAAAACCATCAGGCACTTCATGGAAGAAAAACTGGGCTTTGTACTCCTGTAAACAGTCACAGCCTCAGAATCTTAAAAGGTCAGTTCTACCCTGTCCGATAGGGTTGCTATGTTGGCATGGACTTAATGGCAGTGAGTTAGTGAGTACTATCAAGATTATCAATGAGAAAATAGAGGCAAATTTAAGGGCCCTAATACAGGGCATAAACACACTACCCAACATAACGAAAAACATACTCACCCAAAGACTCTGAAAATAAGACACTTATGTGCATCAAAAGACTTCATCCAAAGAGTGAAAAGAAAACACGCAGGATGGGAAAAAAATGGCAATGGCATCTCAGACCAGGGGATAATCTCCAAAATTGGTAGAATACTATACCACCCCAACCAACAAAGGGGAGTCATCCAATTAAAATGGGCAGAGGACATGAGCACACAGGTTACCAAAGAAGACATCTTGGCAGCCATGATGAACTGCTCATGATCACTGGGCATCTGAGAGATGCAAATAAAACAATGAGATACCACCTCAAACCTATTTTGAGGATAGAATTCAAAACAAACAAAACAGCCCAAATGCTGGAGACGCTGCAGAGATTGCTGGTGGGACTGTCAAATTATGCACCCACCATGGAAAGTGATATAGCACTTCTCACAAACCGAGATTCAATTCTTTTACTTGGTATATCCCTAAAGAAGCCAGAGCTGTAACATGAACAGACATGCACACCCATGTTCATTGCTGCACTAGGCACAATAACAAGAAGGTAGAAACAACCTAACTGCTCGTAAGTGGAAGAATGGAAGAAAAAAACGTTGGTATGTACACACAATGGAATATTATTCCATCACTAAGGAGTAACAATGAAGCTTTGGAACACCTCATGATATGGATGGATTTGGAGGACATTATACTGAGTAAAATTAGTCAATAACAAATGGATAAATGCTATATGAAACAATTATTATAAAATTTAAAAAAATAAGATAACAGATTTTTCATGGCAAAAGAAACAGACCTTGATCATTAACAGGGCTCGGAGGGGAAGGTGGCTCAATAGACTAGAGTTTAGACTGAGTAACTTCAGTAAAGGGGAAGATAGAATTCTATATGAGGGAGAAGAGAGATCAAAAGGTGGGTAGGGCAAGTGGGTGATTGATACATAGTCTTTTAAGTTGTTGAATACAAAATTAATTATTTGAAATGTAAACTTCCACTTAATTCACAATTAAAAGTTAAAAAAAACCCTCAGTTTAAGAGATAATGAAAAAGTACATTGATATGAAATATTTGCCTAGTGCTAATCAAAGAATTAATGTCATTTGGATATAACCTCAAAAATACAGAAGCATTTGTAATTTTAAAAATTCAAAGATTAAATCAAGAATTGCACTTGAGAACTTACTATAAAAGGAGTTGAACATTTTCCCTGGTGAGTATGCATCATCTAAAACTTTCATACACGTACAACAGATATATTCAGCTGACTCCCTCTCAGCTTCTCTAAATTGGTATTTTACACCAGTCGAGGCCCATCTGCTGCATGTGCAGCAGTTTGAAGCCACCAGGGGCTCACCAGGAGGAAGAGGAGGCTTTCTACTACATTCTCGGAAACCTAGTGGGGCAGCTCTACCTTGTCCTCTAGGCTCGCTGTGCATCAGAATTGATTCAATGGCAATGAATTTATTTTTTTGAGTGTCAGATGCGACTCTTTCTCAGTACCGTTTTCATCTTAGGGAAAACAACTACCTTTAATACTGGGATGTGATAACTTTTTGGCACAGTTAGATTCCTTACCTAGCTGGCACCTTTGGTGGAGAGAGGTGAATGATTGTTAAGTCATAGTTGACCAAAGGCCCATTTTAGAGTTGATGTGGGTTCATTTTGAATCCAAGAAAATGGGAAGAGGCCTTGAGATATCCAAGCAGTTCCAAGAAAACCCCAGGATGTGCTAATTCACACAGGCATACTTGTTGGTGTTAGATCCTATCAAGTTCCAACTCATGGCTACTTTCTGCACAACAGAAGGAAACTGCTCAGTTCCGCGCCGTCTTCACAATCCTCTGTCTCCCATTACGTACTGCCATTGTGTCAGTTCTGACTCACAGTGACGTAGGTTCCCACCTCATGGGCTACGACTACCTCTGAAGGTTTCCAAGACCACATCTCGTGTGTGTGTGTGTAGATAGGTATGTAGAAGCCAAATGGTTTCTCTCTTTTTTTTTATATGATTTCTCTATTTCTTTCTTTTTTTTTTAACATTTTATTAGGGGCTCATACAACTGTCATCCCAATCCATACACACATCAGTTGTGTAAAGCGCATTTGTACATCATTTCTCAAAACATTTTCTCTCCATTTAAACCCCCGACATTAGGTCCTCATTTTTCCCCTCCCTCCCCGCTCCCCCTTCCCGCATGAGCCCTTGATAGTTTATAAATTGGCATTTTGTCATATCTTTCCCTGTCCGACGTCTCCCCCAACCCACCCTTCGGTCGTCTGTCTCCCAGGGAGGAGGTCACACACAGTTCCATGTAATCGGTTCCCTCCTTCCCACCCACTCTCCCTTTACCCTCCCTGTTTTGCCACTCACACCACTGGTCCTATAGGGATCATCCGCCCTGGATTCCCTGTATTTTCAGTTCCTATCTGTACCAGTGTACCTCCTCTGTTCTAGCCAGACTTGCTAGAACGAATTCGAGTCATGGTAGTGGGAGCGGGGAGGAAACCTTTAGCAATTGTTTTTCTTCTGTACTGTCACAGAACTCTAGTCCTAGTTGTGAAAACGCCTAAAGAGAAAGAAACTGAATTTGCAGTCCAACACAAAAAGGGGAAAGATTTTGAAAATAAAATATCCAACAACTCTTTGCATTTTAAAATTAAATTTTCAATAAAACATTTTTAAAGTTTCAAAAATGTCATTGAAGAATAACATATTAAAAATGTGGGTGCGAGGAGAAAAAAAGACATGTCGCAAAATTTTAAGATTGATATGAAGATCTTAGTTTAACATAAAAGAATATATTCCATGGATTTGTTATCCCGATAAATATGAACAACATTAACAACACCAACAAAAAGCATAGTTTGGCAATAAATGTTTCAATAAGTTAAATAAACTTCTTTGTATTGATGTGCAGTGACAAGCAAAAGTTTTGCTCTCGAATTTCTTTCCGTTTTATGTAGTTTCAAACCCAAGGGGGAGAAGCATGTGTGAGTGCTCAAGGACAGACCTACGAGGTGCACAAGCAAAACCATCTACCTTACGAAGCCGGCTGGACCAGAGACGTACACTGGTACAGATAGGAACCAGAAACACGGGGAATCCAGGACAGATGACCCCTTCAGGACCAGTGATGAGAATGGTGATACTAGAGGGTCGAGGGAAGGTGGGGTACAAAGGGGGACCTGATTACAAGGATTCTGCATATAACCTCCTCCCTGGGGGATGGACAACAGAAAAGTGGGTGAAGGGAGACGTCAGACAGTGTAAGATATGACACAATAATCATAATTTATAAATTATCAAGGATTCATGAGGGAGGAGAGAGTAGGGAGGGAGGGGAAAAATGAGGAGCTGATACCAAGGGCTCAAGTAGAAAGCAAATGTTTTGAGAATGATGAGGGCCACAAATGTACAAATGTGCTTGATACAATGGATGGATGGATGGATGGATTGTGATGAGTTGTATGAGCCCCCAATAAAATGATTTTTTAAAAAGCTACTTCTGCAGGAAATCGTTTTACAGATATTGGATGTGGAGCGAATATCATTAACTGCTCACCCACCACGTTCAGCTTTTCATCTTAATGAGTGGACAGTGCCTCTGCGCTTGTCTGTGGAGAGGCTCTTGGTTTTGAACTGCTGCCCTTGCTGTTAGCAGCCCAAAGTACAACCCACTCCGCCCCCAGATCTCATAGAGGCAGTCAGATCGATTCCTGTGTGTTCCATCTGGCACAGTCATTGTTCATGTTGCTGAACAACATGTATTTACAATGGAACAGTTGTTGGTCTTGCAAAATTCTCTCAGGCGATATTCAGCATCTTGTCACTAAGGCCGTATTTTCCAGCTGCGGACCTTTTCTCGTTTCCAGCTTTCAGACTTTAATCACCAATAATTGTCAAGGCACCTAACTTGCATGTTTGATCAACTTCAGAATGAAGAAGTGGGTGGAATGCTTCAATTGCTTCACATGGAAATGGTGGTTGGTGCATGAGTATGAACAACAGTTGCATTAACTGATCCTCCTTGTAGGCACATCGATGTTATCCTGTCACATACAGCATTGAACTTCAAGCTAGATCTTGAGACCTACTTTTTGAAGATGAATTCACTGCCGATGCTCTTGAATTTGTCGTTCTGGCATAGAAAATCACATGATTGTCCGACGCAAAATGGCCAATTCTAGTACGTTTCAGCTCACTAATTACTAGGATATATATCTTCATGTGTGCCATTTCATTTTTGATGGCTCAATTTTCCTAGCTGTACATTTGGACCTTCCACACTCCAATTATTCATGGATGGTTGCAGCTGTTTCTATGTTGCGTCATGCCCCAAGAATAAATAAAGACCCGAAAAGTTTTCTTCTTCCCCCATCATTAAAGCCAACTGTACTTCCAGGGGGGAAACTCCTCTCCAGTCACGTTTAAATTCCTCCCTTCCTCTGTGGCTCATCTTTGAGCACGCTGACAGTGGTCTGCTGTTATTTATAATGCTTTCGGTGGCTCCTTCCTTAGAAATAAATGGACTACCTATTTCTTCTTCAGAGTCCGGAAGCTCCACTAAAATCTGTTTATCATGGGAGACACTGCTTGTATTTGAAATCCCAGTGGCATAGCTACCATCCTCACGGCAACAGGCGAGCCACCAGAGTGGAGCACACCGACAGAGAGTAGCCTCAGTGGGGTTTTCATAGAGATGAAACTTTCATACATATTTTTGAAAACCAGTTATGTGGCATGTGACCTAGACAACATCCTGTCTAACACTGAACATGCATTAATTTTTCTCTTGCTTTAGAATATTGAAACCTGATATATCCTTAGCCTGGAATTTGTCTCTCTCAGATTTTGAGATGGCTGGCTCCTCTTCAATATTTAGTTCTCGACCACATTGCAGACCTTCTTTTCTGAAGTAATAATGAATTCCCATTTCTGCTTTATTATCAAATCAGTGTCTGAATTGATCTATTTTTTTAAATTTATTTTGATAGCTGCCTCCCTCCATTAGAATGCAAATGCTATAGGAATAGAAACTTCTTTTTCTTTTCTTCATGATTCTGTCTCTAGGGTTCAGTGGTCCAGGGAGAAAAAATAGGTACACAATCAATATTTTTTCAATAATTAAAAAACTTCTCTGCCACAAAATTCATGCCCTTGCGTTTTATACTAGTTTCTGGGGTTCTTATAGTTATTTACATAATTTACTACATTAAATGCTAAAAGTAATTATTTACCTACTTTTGAATCCCCAGATCATAAAGAAAAGATAGGCACAGAAACAAGCAAAAAATTGATAAAATTAGATTCAAATATTAAAAGTTTGGACTGATTTGATATAAAATGCGATGCATGGAGAAATAGATAATTTACTTTAACGATCTTGAATCAACAAATTTTCCCATTTGCCTTACTCTGTTTTATTTTCCCTCATACTATTTTATCTTCATATGTATGCTTGTTTACTATCTGACTCACCTATTATCATACTGTTTTTTTAGAGCAGGGAAATTATTTGGTTTGATCAATATGGTATCCCTAACATTTATAATAGTACTTGTTTATAACAGACTCTAAGACTATTCATTTAATATATCAATAAATTTATAAGGAAAGCAAAAATGAAAATACTGTATTTAAGTTTGGTTGACTATACAGTATCTTTACAAATAATGTTATCCAAAATAATAAAGTCAAGAGTCTTAATACTTAAATGGGTAAGCCTTTTTATTTTGTTCTCCAAAAATATTTTATGGACTACTCAATTTCCTCTTAAACATGGTCAGGACAATGACTTTTCTAATCTACAAATAACTGAAGTTTCTTTATCTCACCGGAAAGTGAAAAATATCTTGAAAGTCTGTAGTAAGTAGTAGCATTTTCTTTCCTTTAGCCATTCCGTCATAGGTAAGAGCTCTGTTTCTTCTCTATGGCATACTTTGGTAACCTGCAAATGCAAAGCACACGCAAGAAAGTTTGTGGAAAATAGAATTAAAAGATAATGAAAAGTTTTGAGAATGTTTAGTTTCCTCATATTTGAGAATAGCACTTTGATAATTACCACAAGTTGTAATAATACAGTTCTTTGTTCAGTCACTGATTTAGGGTTTATCTACCTCTGCCCTCCTAGCCTCTCAACTAAACTCTACATATGCAAGGGTAGGATCAAATCTGTATGAAGTGGATCAGTATGTGCATTTAAGAAAATACCTCTAAATGGCATTATTATTAAGTGAAAAATGAGGTTAAAGTTTGTATATAATAACAGTATACATATACATTTATACATATTTATACAGTATACAGAGGCAATTTTACTTCTAGAAGAAATTTCACCAAAAATGTTAACATTTAGATTGGGGAGAAGGATTCTTGAAAAGAGAGAGAGAATTCCTTGATGCAGGGAATTTAGTTTTTAAATGTCAGATGGGATATCTGCATAGCCACTTCATGACTGCTGCATTCCATTGTTAAAATTAAGTTCCAAAAATATCACATTTTTAGAGAATATGAAAATTCCATGGCGAAAATGCTCATAGGAAACATATCAGTATCTTCTACTTTCATTTTCCTAGAAATTTTTACCTCCTCCATCCTAAATAATAAGGTGATTTCTATATCTGACAATAAAGTTTCTGACAAATTCTGCCAAGAGAGACCACTTTATTGATAGTAATTTTATGATGGCAAGTTTATTAAGCCATCAAATGCTTATATTTTTCCTTTTAAAATTACACTATTAATAATGTGAGAGGTAAAAAAGTGTCTTAAAACTTGTATTCTCAAGCCTAAAAATCTCAAAGCAAGTAGGACATTTAATTATTTAATAACTTTTTCTAAGAAGGCCTTTAAAACCTTCAGAGAATTAATCTTGTTGAATAAACTGCACAAATTATTAGTTTTGTCTTAAACACACAGAGATAAACTTGTTCAGTGAACTTCAATGAAAATATTTTTTCGATTATGATACCAGTATTCGAAAAAAACCTATTATATGTTACTTTTGAAACAAATGTAGCAGTAATAATCCAAAATTGTTTGCAACATCGAGCTGTTTGAGCAGAGACTGCCTGAAGCTCATACAGACTGTCAGGACCCTTGGACTTCCTCCTAGGAAGGCAATATATATATTCTCCATCATCTTTCAAAGGTTCCTAAGGTTAAAAAAAGAAATCAAGTTAAGTAGTAAAATAGTCAAACACATTACAAAGTAAATTGAAATAGTTTTATATCGATTAAATATAAAGATAATATTGTTGAAGAAAGCTAGCTGGATCTAATCAAAGCTCAATAGGATCAATCAGAAAAGGATTAAATCTAATATTTTATTTTCACTGATGTTTTTGGAACATTCATAAAAACGTATCTATATGCTTATTAGTTAACATATGCTTTCTAATTCAAAAGCTTGACAATATATCTTGTACATATATCTTATACCTCTATTAATTTGTCTGCCAACTCCAGAATTGTCTTGAGGGACAGTGAATTTATCATTTATTATAATAATTATAGATTAGCTTTATAATAACAATAGTTAATATTTGTTAAGGAAGTATTGTTTTAATACATAGTAAGTGTTCTAATATGCCATCATTAAAACCATTGTAAGTTTCATCCCTTAAACTTTAATTTCTTAAATTTAAAGAGATTAACATTACGTTTTTATAATCTCATTAAACAAATGCTTAAATTAATATTTAGAGAAGTTAGATAAATTAAAACATATCACAGAGCCAGAAACTGGTAGGATAGGAAGCTGAATATTAGCCTGACTCTTAACTTATATTTTGAGCTACTGCAATATATGCAATGCCTTTCCCTCATTAACTCAGCTATTGCACATAGCAGAAACATAATTGAAACATGTTTTGCTTTTAGCTTTGAAATTTCAAACCTCTACTAGACTAGTTCTAAATGAGTGCATAAGCAAATGTGGTGAAGAAAGCTGATGGGGCCCGGTTATCAAAAGATATAGTGTCTGGAGTCCTAAAGGCTTGAAGGTAAACAAGCGGCCATCTAGCTCAGAAGCAACAAAACCCGCATGGAAGAAGCACACCAGCCTGTGTGATCACAAGGTGTCGAAGGCATCAGGTATCAGGCATGATCAGAACAAAAAATCATATCATAGTGAATGGCGGGGAGTGGAGATGGGGGACCCAAAGCCCATGTGTAGGCAACTGGACATCCTCTTACTGAAGGGTCGGAGGGAGGAGAAGAGCCAGTCAGGGTGCAGTGTAGCAATGACGAAACTTCAATGCTTCCTCCCCCGCCCTCCACTATCATGATCCCGATTCTACCTTACAAATCTGGCTAGACCAGAGGATGTACACTGGCACAGAGAGGAACTGGAAACACAGGGAATCCAGGACAGATGATCCCTTCAGGACCAGTGGTGAAAGTGGCGATACCAGGAGGGCAGAGTGAGGGTGGGGTAGAAAGGGGGAACTGATTACAAGGATCTACAAATAACCCTTTCCCTGGGGGACGGATAACAGAAAAGTGGATGAAGGGAGACGTCGGACAGTGTAAGATATGACAAAATAATAATAATTCATAAATTATCAAGGGTTCATGAGGGAGGAGGGAGCTGGGAGGGAGGGGGAAAAATGAGGTGCTGATACCAAGGCCTCAAGTAGAAAGCAAATGTTTTGAGAATGATTAGGGCAACAGATGCACAAATATGCTTGACACAATGGATGGATGTATGGATTGTGATAGGAGTTGTATGAGCCCCCAACAAACTGATTTAAAAAAATAAAAGTTCTAAAAGTATATAAAAACGAAGCTTAATCTCTTCTGGAAATTAAATTTTACTATAAAATAAATTTTAATATTCTTTACTAAATCATTTTATTAGGGGCTCATCCAACTCTTATCACAATCCATACATACATCAATTGTGTAAAGCACATTTGTACATTCATTGCCCTCATCATTCTGAAGACATTTACTCTCCACCTAAGCCCCTGGCATCAGCTCCTCATTTTTTCCCTCCCTCCCTGCTCCCCACCCTCTTGAACCCTTGATAATTTATAAATTATTATTTCGTCATATCTTGCCCTGTCTGACATCTCCCTTCACCCACTTTTCTGTTGTACATCTCCCAGGGAGGAGGTCACATGTAGATTTATTATAGTGTATGATACCCTCAAAAGTTATTGAATAGAATAAGTATTATCATAGTTTTATAACATGGGTCTCATTTTACAGACTTTTATTTTGTTTTTGTCTCCCTAGTGCAAAGATTGTTGTTTGCTTCTCAATTATCTCAACTGTTGATTTCAGTTTCTTATTTTGGCTTCGAATATAAGGAGTTCCCAGAAACCTTAAAAAACCATTTTAAAAACTAAAAGTAGATGAAACAAATAAGCCCTGAGTGAATGCTAATTTATATGTTGCATGGATTTTGTGTGACCATTATTTGGTCACATGAGGCATTCCGTTCAAGTTTCACGTTTCCCAGAAACTTAAGGTAGATACCATTATTATTTATTTAAAAATATTTAATTGGAGGTACCATTATTTTAAATAATCACATCTATAATCACAGAATTCTATTATATAAATGTATTAATATTTTTTCCAATTAAATTAATCTTTTTCCATTAAAACAAATATACAAGTATCTCTTTTAATATTCTCAATTCCATCCTGCACATATGAATGAGATGTACTTTTTTGAAAGTCCAAAGGCATGAAGCCCAAACACAAGCTATGAGTTGTGCTGTTTTATCATTATTATTATTTTCACTACTAAGCCTACTGTTAGGCAGGCACAATGCCAAATGCTTTAGCTCATTTAACCTTCAAAGTAAATCTCCGGGCTAAGTATTATTAACTCCACCTTAAGGTTGACAATACAAAACCCCAGAGAACTTAGAGATGTGACTAAATCACATAGTGCTTGGAAATAGACATTTGAAATTAAATTAATCTGATTCCATTATGAATGTATTTTCATTTATATTATCTTGCTCTTATGGCGACAGTCTAGAGCAGGGGCCAGCAAACTATGACCACTGAGCAGGTGGCCAACTGGACAGATGTTTCTGTAAATAAAGTTTTACTGGCTGGAATGCAGCCACATTTATTGATTTACATATTGCCTACAGTGGTTTTCAAACTGCAATATTGACTTGATACAACAGAGATAAAAAGATCTGTGAAGTCTAAATACTTATTACCTGACCCAGTCCAGAAAAATTTAAAAAAGCCCTGACTGACTCTATTGGGCATCAAAATCATCTGGATCGCCTGTTAAAATGCTGATTACAGGGTATGAAGACAAGGAGTTAGAAAATCAAAAGGCAACAAACCAATCCACATTTCTTAAGCTGAAGAGCTGAAAGAAAACTTCCAACTTTGAGTTGGAATATTGAAGGATATGGGCAGGATATTGAACAATGCGGGAAGCCTCAAAAGAAGGAAGGAATACAGTTATGTACTATCAAGAATTACTCAGTTACCAAACACTGGGTGCATTGCCTGGTGTGGCTGAGACAATAAAGACAATAAAGGCAGTCAAGAGCAAAAGGCATAATTTTACTGCTGAATTTGTAATAGCTGAAGCTGAGTTAACCGTTAGCAAAATACTAACTGCACCAAAGTCTGAGAGGGGCAGAGATTTTTCTACATGAGCATTGTGGGTTGCACATCAGGAGCAAGTTTATCTATTTGTTTGCTACATACTTTCTACACACGTAAACTGCATATACAAATATTTTTCAAGGATCACTATGATCCATCTCTGGTGTCAGCAAAAACTCCTGACCACTTGTGATTTCTCAAAAAGTTAGTTACTTCTCCCATTGAGAGGAACCTTGGAGGACTCTTAAAAGAATATTATGCATTTTCGATAGGATGCTGGGTATAAATTAAATTATTTCAAGAGATAGTATATTATCAAAAGTCGATGGTATTGAGGAAAGAAACCCAAGTTGCACTGAAGGTATTGACAAAAAACCCCAAAGTTTTAATAATTAATGGAATATCAAGTGACACCAATCAAGAAATGCTTTCAGTGTTCCAGGTGCCAAGAAATTTGGAGGACAATTAGTTGGCCAATCAATTGTCACAACCTGCACAGCTTCTTGAACACCGGAGGGAGGACAACGGGAGAGGAAGACAAGACAGACAGGATACAGAAAGCTGAGGCCAGGAGGAGCCTTTTCCCAATGAGGGAGAAGACTGCCCAGCCACCGCAGCACATTTATTTATACATGCAAGACTGCCTAAGGAACTTCATCATAAGCTCAAGGGGAGGATGAAGCCAGAAACAGGGAGTATCGCTGATCTTGAACAGAACTTCGTGCTTCAGCAGCTTCCCAGGGAACAAGAGGGGAAGTGTCTACTTTATCTTAGGCCAAGGTCATTCAGTGCATCGGCTCCTTGGGTTGAGCTGACACGCCTTCCCATGGGGCCTTGCCTCAACCATGGGGAACCTTACCACAAGGCCAAGCGTCAACCATGAGAGGTGATGGTCCTGTCCTACTTGCCCAAGGAGGAGCCAGCTTCATGCCCAGCATTCCTCATTTGTGCCCGGTCCAAAGAAAGGTGACCAAAGAAAATGTGAAACTTATCAAACAGTGTCATTAACATTACATGTATGTAAACGTTGGCTGAACTCAAAGATGGAAACAGCAGTTCTTTAAGTGGGAACTTCCGTAAATTCAAATCAGATTCAGAACAGGACCTGTCACAAGAGTTGTTGCTGACATCAGATGAATCTTGGCTATAAACCGAGAAGACTAGAAAGACTTTCACCTGTGTTTTATTGACTCTGCCAAGACATTCAGCCTTGTAGATTACAACACATGATAGCCAACATGGAGAAGAACAGGGCTTCTAGAACAGCGATGGTGACCATGGCTGGCAGTCCTTCCAACAGAACACCATCCTCACTATTGTTCCGATGCCCCTAGAGAAGGAGGTGGTGCTTGGCAGAGTAGAGGAGCAGTGAACAGAGGCAGGCCCTCAAAGAGATGAATTAACACAGTGGCTGCAGCAATGGGCTCGAGCACAGGTAGGGCAACTGAGTGGTTTAAAATCAGGAAAGGTGTCAGATCCTTTCAGCATATTTCTCAATCTGTATGCTCAGCATATAACCCAAGAGGCTGAACTTTAGGAAGAAGAATGTGGCATCCGGCTTGGAGGAGAGCTCGTTCACCACCTGCAATATGCAGATGACCCAATCTTGTTTGCCAAAAGCAAAGAGAACTTGAAGCATTTACTGAGGTGGAGCAAAAACGACAGACTTCAATATGGATTATACCTCAACAAAAGAAAACAAAGATCCTCACAACTGAGTCAGTAAGCAACATAGCAATAAATGGAGGAAAAAATGGAAAGAAAAACATTGTCAAGGATATCATTTTACATAGATCCACAGCCCAGGCCCCATAGAAACAGCAGTAAGGAAATCAAACAATGTATCGCAAAGGGCAAATCTGCTATGCAAGATCTATTTTGTGTGAAAACGCAATAATGGGACTAAGATGCCCTTGACCAAAGCCATCGTACTTTCAATTGTCTTATATGCATACGCAAGCTGGACAATGACAAGGGAGACAAGATTTGACAAAGAAGCTTAAGCATATTATAGACTGCCGGAAGCATATCTATATTGGAAGAAAGACAGCTGGAATGCTCCATTTTGAACCATTTTTAAATGTTTCAGTGTTTTTAAGGTGAAGGGGAACACCGTGGATGTAAGCCCCAGGGAGCGGGGATGTGAATGGCCTTGCCAGCAGGCCGAGTGCACTGGGAAGTGGACTGCTGCAGATGCGGTTAGGTTAAAGTTTAGCACCCGGTCATTGGAGCTCCCTTATGATATTTACATCTGCTCTAGATTTTGATATTCTCTGGTTGATCAAGGTTTTTTATTTGGTTTGTCATTCCTGTTTTTAAAAAAATATTTTCCTGTGTATGAAATGTCGGACAGGTCCATCTATAGAGACAGTAACTGGATTAATGGCTCCTTGGGGATATGGCAGGAGAGGCTGGGGGAAATGGGGATCTAATAACATGTACAGTAGAACCCCGGCACTCAACCACATCAGTACTTGACATCATTGGATCTCAATGGGAAATGTCGAGAAAATTTTGCATCGGAGCTGGAACAAAACATCGGAATGTGACCCAACACGTGATTTTTGTAAACAAAAGCAGTTCGTGTTTGCTCACTCGGCATCACTTGGCATTATTAGTACATGTTGTTTAAACCTTTTGTGGCTATGTTCCAAATGTTTTCCTTTAACTTTCTTAGTTTTTGTGACTTTTTATACTGTTTTTAGATCAAAAAACATGGGCCCTAAGAAACAGTTTTTTGAAAAGAATCATCATGATAAGGAACCAGTTAACCAACAATATCAATAATTGATATTGTTGATGATAACTTAGCAAACCCTTTTAGAAAACAGTTAAGGAAACGTCACCAGCAGATCATATTAGACAGATTTTTTTTTAAGAAGAAGCCATCCAGGTCCTAGTGAAAAGGGGCAAAGAAGGGAAAAAACTCCTGAAAAGCAGCTACCAGTTGATTTTTTTTTTTTTTTTTTTTTTTACTGTGCAACCCACTTCAGTGCCTTAAGCCTACCAGGTAAAGCCAGGCAATGGTTCAGGGTGACAGTTTGCTTTGGCATGGGACACTGTGAGAGGCCCATGGGATCGGACTACCAGTTGATTTTATGTAAGGGATTCCCTCCCAAACAATGACTTTCCCCATCCCTCCTCTCCACACCCGTGTCCACAGATCCAGCTCCTCATCAGTCTCCAGGTATGGGCCATACTGGAGTTGTGAAAAACTTTTAAAATGTTATACTTATTATTTAAATTGTATTATTTAACTCTGAACTTATTTAGTTTGAAATTTCTGTGTAATGTTTTGTATAAAAAGGCAAGGTTAGGGTAAAAACTTGATGGTCGAGAACAGATTAATCCATTTTCAGTTATTTCTTATGGGAAAAATTGATGCAGAACTTGATTGCATCTCATCTCTACACTCCTAGAACAGATTAGCATCAAGGTCCAGGGTTCTACTGTACAAGAATGAAGAAAATAGAAAATGTTCTCAAAGTGACTGTGATGATGACTGTACAACTCTTCTGGATGTGACTGAGCTCATGAATTGTATGATATGTAAATTATATGCCAATAAAACTATTGAGGAAAAAGAAGAATCTTATTAAAAAAAGAACAAATAGCCAAATATTTTGATATGCTGTAGGCTTATAACTTTTAAATCTTATCTTTTCTTTCATTCTCTAAGCAAAATGAAATGATGGAAAGTGGTTTTCATAAGAATTCATTATGAAATAATGATTACAGTGTGGTATTAATGTAATATCTGATTCTTATTTAATGAATGCAATGAATAAAATAAAGATGACAGTTTTAGATAATGATTTTTATAGTTAAAAATAAAATAATACCTTCTTAATTGTAGTCTCAGAACTTAGCCATTTCAAGTCACTCTTCAATAATATAGTTTGCAAACCAAGCTTTTCTCTTAATCTTGTAATATGGACTATTGCATCTACATCCTGTGGTTCTAATTTAGAACATAAAGAGAGATTCAATGTAAGTGCATGTGGACATCAGCTAAAAACAGTGCATAGCATTTTAGAAAATTCTACAAAGAGAAAAGTTTTACATAAAAATTATAAATAGGGGAGAAAATATATCTTAAAATTCCATTTTAACAGAAGCTGAAAAAGGGAAAAATATTTCCCCATTTAGGACAGATGTAATAAGAATGTAATTCACAATTATACAGTTAATTGTAGTAGGAGAGAATAGGAGCAAGGAGCAGTAATAAATGGAGTAAGCCTCTGGTGAACCCTTTCTGACCATAGTAGAGGGATGTGAAATGCCTTCCCGTCCGACAGAGAGCACTGAGAACTCAATTTTGGCAGATGGAGCTAGGTTAAAATGGAGTACTTTATCATTTAATCTCCCTTTTGACTAATTTTGGAGATATATGTATGAAGGGCAAATACACATGGATTGAGCCTTCAGTGAATCCCTCTGGCCATGGACTAGGGATGGGAATAATCTTGCTATTGTGCAGAGTGCAATGGAAAGTGGATTGTCGCAGAACCAGTTAGGTTAAAATCTAACTCTTTAGCATTTGGTCACCCTTTCGACCCATTTTGAATATGTTCTGGGTTTGATATGTCCTGCTTTCTTTTCGATTGAGGTTTTCCTCTGGTTTATTGTTGGGTGTGTGTTTTTTTGGTATGTTTTCCAGTATATGAAGTCCAGAATGGGTGACTCTATAGAGATACCAATTGGATTAATGGCGTCTTGGCTGTGTGTGTGTAGTGGGGTGGGAGTGGGGGTGGGTGGGCAGGGGAGGCTGGAAGGAAATGGGAGCTGGTAGGAATGAGTGCAGGAAGGAATGGGGGTGACTGTGCAGCTACCCTAACTCTTGAAGTGCATTACATTCAAATTATATTTCAATAAAACTATAAAAATAAAAAAAAACCATTATATTGATCACACAGGGCTGTTTTCAAAACACAAAAAAAAGAACCAGTTATAAGGCTTTTCCTAATAAAAATCTAACCTTCAATGAAGGTAGTTGGATTAAAAAAAGAAAGAATAGCTATAATGTGATGGAAACATTATTTTTTTAAATAGTCATTCTTAAAAAAACCAACTTATTATGCAATTAATAAAGATTTACAGAGTAAACCAGTTTTCGACTCAATAATTCATACACATCTTATTTCTTGTCATTGATTGTAATTTCCACAAGGTAACAATCTCTCATCTCACTTCTCCCTTCGTTTCCTGTTTCCATTCCTCTGTTTCCTAATCCGTCCTGCTTTGAGAACTTTGTCTTTGGCCAAATACTGTCCTTTTGATCTGAAATGATTGTTCTAAGGATGCATACCACCTTAAAGACTTGTTCACTGTTTGGCTGAAAACTCAGCCATGTTCCAGGTCTGGAGGTTTGTTTGTTTTTTAATTATTTTGAGTTTTGTTCCACATTTTTCTCCGAATGCAATCCATTTCAGAGCAGTTAGTAGTGATAGCCAGACGCTACCTAGTTTGTCAAGTCTTGGGGTCATGGAGGCCAAGATTCAGGGGAACTAATTGTTTCTATGAAACTTTAATTTTCTTCTCCTTTTCTTCAGACAAGGAGCGATCAATAGTTGTATCCATAAATGACCAGTCAGGTGTTAAAACTCCAGTTGCTGCTTGACATAATGGATGGATGGATGGATTGTGTTAAGAGTTGTACAAGCCCCCAATAAAATGATTTAGAAAAAAATTTTTAACTTAGAAAAAAAACAAAAACTCCAGTTGTTATTTATTCACCAGAGAGGATATAGAACATTTTCCTTGTAGACTATGTTCTACCAACTGCCTTTGGTGTCCCCTGCATCTGTGGTCCTGAGCACTCTGGTGCAGTAATGTTTGATTATGGTTATGAAATTTTCATGACCTTTCCCATTCTATGTGCTGCTATATTCATGGATATATTTGAAGGATATATAAATAATTATGTAGAAATATGTTCTATTATCCTATAAATATTTGTGGGTATAACCCCATTCTCCTTTCTACATAAGATGTTTTCACTCATAGATTATTACATATTTTATTATACATGATATTGCTTATTATATCCCTTATAATAGTATATCCTTGTATCCCTTCCAGTGTCTTCCTTTGCCTTGATCATTTTGTTTTGAACTCTCCCTTATTGTAAATTGTCTTTCCATTCACCAAGTTAATACACTTGTGCCCTCTAGTTAGTAATTTACACTATCTTCCACTTCCAGTCTTGGTAAACCTCAAAGAAGACTTCTTTTAGTGTGGACATCTTTTCCTGGCTTTTTATAATAGCAGCACCATACAATATTTATCCTTGTGTTCTAATTTCACTCAGCATGCTCTCCGCTCATTTTATTTTTTTCTTTAGTCTTGCGCAGTTTTCCTTTGTGTATCATAGTATGTTCCTCCATTAGTCTGTGGTCGGGCACTTTGTTCCTGTGTTTTCTCTCTTGTGAGTAATACTTCAGTGAACACAGTCGTGCACATAGCATTCATGACACAGCTCTTATTTCTCTTGAGTATACTAGTAGTGGGATATATGGCTCATATAGTACTTTCTGAGGAAGTGCCATACTGTCCCCCACAGTGATTGTACTGTTTGATAATCCCACAAGCAGTGTATGAGGGTTCAGTCCTTCCACAATCTCATATTTGTTATTTTTAAATTTTGTTATTTATGCTGGGGTGAGATGAGATGCCAGTGCTATTTTAAATTGGATTACTCTATTGATCCTGAGCGTGTATGCATCTATTTCTCAGCCACTTGAATGTGTTCTTTAATGAAGTGCCTTCTTGTGTCTTCTAACCGTGTTTTAAATTGGATTCTCATTTTATGTTGAAGTTTTCTGTACATTTTAAAGATTAGTTCCTTGTCTGATATATCATTGTCAAAAATTTTTCTCCCAGTTTGTGGATTTACTTTTTATTCTTTGGATGCCATTTTTTTTCTTGTGGGAAAGGGTCTAATATTTAGGAAATCCCAGTCATCTTATGCAGCTTGTGCTGTTTTTTAAAAAATTAATTAAAAGATCATTTTATTGGGGGCTCTTACAACTCTTAGAACAATCCATACATCAATTGTATCAAGCATGTTTGTACAGATGCTGCCATAATTTTTTCTACACATTTCCTTTGTATTGAGCCCTTGGTATCAGCTCTTTTTTTCTTCTTTTTTTCCCCCTAACCCTAACATATCAGCGCTTCTTTTGTCCCTCCCTCCCCCCTACCCTCATGACCCGTTGATAAATTATAAATTATTATTATTTTCATATCTTACACAGACCGCTGGCTCCCTTCCCTCCTGGTTTCTGTTGTTCGTCTCCCTGGTGGGGGTGGGGGACTGTGGTGTGGTTTATGTGTCATTCATTGTGATCGGTTCCCCCTTCCTCCCCGCCTCTTCCTCACCTTCCTCCTACCCTTCTGGTCTCTTTGGTGGTGTATCTATGCCATTTGTTAGGGTCTCTAAGTTTGTCAATAATCTTTCTTTGATGATCTCTATACTTTGGCGTAAAGTATACCATACTATTGGCTTTATATTTGGATCTGTGACTCATATGAAATTCTTAGTTACTTGGTATAAGATATGGGTCCTCTTTCATTTTTCTACAAATGGATCTCTACCTTTGCCAGTACAATTTGCTAAAGAGACATATCTCTTCCCCATTTAATGTGTTTTAGTCTTTGTCAAAGATCAATTGTCCACAGTGGACAGATTGTCCCCTGGATTCTCAAGTGTTTTTCCATTGCTGTATATGTCTGCTATTGTACCAGTACCGAGGTATTTTGACCATCATGATTGTTTAGTAGGTTTTGAGATTAGGGAATTTGAGGCCTCCTATTTTGTTCTTTTTTAGTAGAATATATATATATATATATTAGTATGTATATTATATATTAGCATATATATATACTAGTATATATATTAGTATATAGATATACTAGTGTGTGTGTGTGTGTGTATATATATATATATATATATATATATATACACCAGGCCTCTTTCCTTTCAATATAAAGTTGGTGATTATGTTTTCTCTCTTTTTAAGAGAATGATGAGGAAATCTGAATAAGGGTTACATGATATCTGTAGATCACTTTGGGGAGTATTGACACTTTCAGAATGTCACTCCTATCCAGCACGATAGTATATCTTCCATTTATGTAGGTCTCTTTTACTTTCTTGCAGTTACTGTTTTGTGGTTTTCTTTGTATAGGTCTTTTATATTTCTGGTTAGATATATTCTTAAGGATGTTATCTTTTGGTGGCTATTGTAAATGGTATTAATTTCCTGATTTCCTTTTCAGAGTTCTCTTTATTAGTGTAAAGGAATCCAGACTTTTATATGTTGATCTAGCACCTTGCCCCTTTGCTTCTCTCGCAATTCTAGTAATTTGCTTGCTGAGTCTTTGGGAATCCCTGTGTATAGGATCATTTCATCTGCAAATAGAGTTGTATTTCATCTTTGTCAATTTGAATGCCTTTTATTTCTCTTTCTTGCCTTATTTTTCTGACAAGACCTTCCAATACAATACTGAATATACTTGACAATAAAGGAAATACTTGTTTGATTCCTGTTTGCTAGCAGAATGCATTCACTCTCTCTCCATTAAGATTAATATTGGCTGTTGGTTTTTGTACATATGCCTTTCATTATGTTGAAGAATTTCCCTTCTATGTCTATTTTGTTGAGTGTTTTTTATTAGAAATGGTTGTTGGATTTTCTGCATTGATTGATATGAACGGGGGGTTCTTTACCTTTTTTTTATTTATGTAGTGCATTATGTTGATATTTGTCTAATCTCGAACTATCTTTGCATTGTTGTTGTAAATTGCTAGCCAGTCAGTTCCAACTCATAGTGACCCTACATACAAGACAAAGCACTGCCTGGTCCTACGCTAGCTTCACAATTCTGATGTCTGAACCCATTGTTGCAGCCACTGTTTCAATCCAGGTCCTTGAAGGTCTTGCTCTTTTTCATCGACACGTTACCAAACATGATGTCTTGTTTTCTAGGCCCTGGTCTCTCCTAATAACAGGTTCAAATATGTGAGACAAAGTCATACCATCTTCATGTCTAAGGAGCATTCTAGCTCTACTTCTTTCAAGACAGACTTGCTTGTTCTTCTGGCAGGCCACAGTACTTTCAGAATCCTCCATCAACACCATATTTCAAATGAATGGATTCTTCACTTATACTTAGTTATTGTCCAACTTTCACCTGCAGATAATGTGAGGGAAAATATCACGACTTGGGCCAAGCACATTTTAGTCTTCAAAATGACATTACCACGCTCTAGCCCTTTAAAGAGGTCCTGTATAGAAGATTAAGCTAATGTACTATGTTATTTGATTTCTTTACTGCTGCTTCCTGAGCACTGATTGTGGCTCCATGTAAAATGAAATACTTGAAAACTTCAATATTTTCTATTGGTCCAGTTGTGATGATTTTGGTTTTTGTTACACTGACTTCTGTCCCATGCAGTAGATCACAGGCCTTGATCTTCATCAGCAAGAGATTCAAGGCCTCCTCATTTTTAGCCAGCAAGGCTGTGTTACCTGCATATCGCAGGTCATTAATAAGCCTTCCTTCAATTCTGATGCTACATTCTTTTTCATATAATACAGATTCACAGAGTATTATTTTATCAACATACAGATTGAATAAGTATGGTGAAAGAATACAGCCTTGTCATATACTTTCCCTGAAGCTAAACCATACAGCATTCCCTGGGTTCTGTTTGAAAGACTGCTTCTTGGTCCTTGCATAGGTTCTGCATAAGCACAATGAAATGTTCTGAAATTCCCATTCTTCTTTAAGATTTATGATCCACACAATTCAGTGTTTTTGCATAGTCAATAAAATATAGGTAAATATATTTCTAGTATTCTCTGCTTTCAGTCAAGATCCACCCGACATCAGCAATGATATCCCTGGTTCCATGTCCTCTTCTGAAGTTGGCTTGAATTTCTGGCAGTTTTTTCTTGATGTAATGCTGCAGCCCTTTTTGACCTATCTTCAGCAAAATTTTATTTTCATGTGATATGCTATTGCTTGCTAATTTCCACATTCTGCTGAGTTGGCACACAAATGGATCTCTCTACCAGTCAGTTGACCAGTTACAATTTCCTTGGCATAGATGAGTGCGTCCAATACTTCATAAGCGTGTTGAAACATTTCCATCGGCATTCTGTCAGTTCCTGTAGCCTGTCTTATACTAATGCCTTCAGGGCAGCTCGGATATCTTCCCCTTCAATTCCACGGGTTCTTGATCAGGTGCTACTTCTGGAAATGGTTGAACATGGACCATTTCTTCTTGGTACAATGACTCTATATTCCTTTCATTTTCTTTTGATGTTTCCTGCACTGGCTACTATTTTGCCTCCGTTTCCCCCTCTAATCTGCTGGGTTAGAGGTATGTTGAGCATGTTCTTCCTTCTTGACCATCAGTTCCAGGTCTTTCCACATTTCATTTTTATTTTCTACTTTTTCTTGAGCTGCCCCTTAAAGTTTTATGTCCAGCTTTATAATTTCATATTTTCTTACATTTGCTTTATCTACTCTATATTCAAGAAAACATTTTTAGAGTCCCATCTGATATCCACTTTGGTCTTTTCTTTCTGATGTTTGTCTTTTTAGTGGCTTTTTATTTTCTTTATGAATGATGTTCTGATGTCCCCTCACGGCTTGTCAGGTGTTCTGGTATTAGTGTTCAATGCATCACATCTCTTTTCTTGAGAATTCCCCCCAAATTTTGTTGGAAAACACTCAAGGTTGCATTTTAACTCTTGTAGACTTGGTTTTTTGTTTTGTTATGCTTTCTTCAGCTTTAACCTAAACTTGCACATGAGCAACTGGTTGTGGTTGTAAGCATCATAATGGCTTACTTCTTCAAAGTCAGTGAAGGAGAGATTGAGACAGAGTCAGTTGGTAAGACAGACTTATGTAACATAATCATGAGAATGACATGCCATTGTTATTGCCATTGTTAGAAGCAGTCACAGGTCCTACCCCTATTCAAGGGGTCTAATTGCTTGATATATTCAACACTAGGAATCTAGATAATAGGGCTAACTTAAATTTCATTTACCACATCTGCACCCTCCACCCAATCTCAAGATATCTGTTATTGACAATTTGGGAAACCTTTGAGGACAAGGAGTGAGGAACTCTGAAACATAAGTTTCAGTGATTTTATGACAAATCTCTCTGCACCATGGCATTCCAACAGAAAATGGAAACTAGTTTTGAAAAAGGGACAGTATAGAATTAAATTTTAATACAAATAAGAATTTCAGGTTAGCAAAATGACAAACTGGAAAATATATGTTAGTGGACAAACCCCATTAAAAAAAACTTTAGCTAGAGATTTAAACTATATAGCACCCAAAGACCAAACACTTAGAACTAAAATGGTAATATAGTGTTACAACAAGACTAAAACAAATCCACACAGCTTTACCACATTTACAGTTCTGTAACTTTCAAAAATAATTTTAAAACACTTTTTAATCATTCCTTAAGCAACCAAATTAATAAAATTTAGTGTGATGCTTTCTTTAAAAGGCAGTGTCTAACATAACCACACAAAACAACAAAAGAATTTGAAAAGAGGTGGTTCGGTGATGCTACATACCTGTCGTATCATACAAAGAACACTTGTATTTCCTACATTTGAAAGGGATAAGAGCTTGATTTTGTTCGATTGTTTTCTTTTTCTTCTTATGGAAAACTTGTTCTGGAGCAACTATAGGTTGTTGAATTTTATACTCTTTAAGGCAATTGGAAAAGAAAATCTACATTAGCTGAATAATCAGAATGGGATATAAATCATGCTATGATAATTCTACACACCAAGCTAGAGAGTTAAGTCTTAAATGAAGTCATCAAAGTTTCCAATTCCAACCTGAGATACAAGCTTTCCCACTCACCACTCCAAGATTTAGTCTGTGAGTTATCTATGTGTCTCAGTTTCATCATCTCTAAAGTGAGAAGCATAATAATAACCATCTCATAATTAATTAATGAGAATTAAATTAGTGAATACATTTAAAGAACACAGTAAGTGGCTACTGGTAATTAGTCCTTAATTTAATTAGTATGGTAAATCTTTAAAATATGAATCCTTATCCAAAATAAATATAGAACAAACCTTTCCTATAATTTGATAACCAAGCACATAAAATATTTAGATAAAAGTGCAGGAAAGTAACAAAGGCCCTATTACTTATATTTCTTCCTTTTTTTCAATTGCTTTTATATGTCAACATTATATTATGGTAATGGATATCTTTTGACCTACCTAGATACATTTTCAATATATAGAATGGGGAAACTGAAAATAGGGCTTTTGAATGCAAATAAATTTTGTTTTCATCATTCGTTTGACAAATATTTATGTAATGCAAGTCATTGAGCTATAACCCAGCAGAGGATAAGACACAGTAATTACAAACAATCAACACAAATGAGTGCTTATGATATGGTCAATACATTCTATTCCAGTCCCTAAATCCTAATTCAGAGGTGAGGAAGATCATTTCCATGTGTAATCAGAGGAGGCTGTATACTTATCCTGCTCTGAGAAATTAAACCTTAAAAGAGTAAGGTGTTTCATTGTATTGGGAGAGATGCCAAGTAAGGGACAAGAGAAAAAACATTAAAAAGATTTGTCAGAAGATCACAGTGAAATCTTCAGTGGGAAGTTCATGGGTGCCAGTTATGAAAACTTCCCCTTATCTTTAATATTCAGTTCACAAGTCTCCCCATGTCCTTGTCTTAAGCAGAACCTGGTTATTTCGTACAAACATCACTGACCTGCAACTCTCTCAAGTAGTGACTATCTTCTGCACCCCGAGACTGGAAAATAAGCTTGTTTTCCTCCTTGACCCAAATTTACCATTTCCAGGCTATTAAACTTTGCCTTCTTGAAAACAACAACACAAAACCACCCACACAACCAAACAAAAGCATCTTTTTCTTTTGAAGCTCATGCTTTTTGATTGTCATATTCTCATATTTTTATTCTTATCTATCAATTGCCTGATCACTCAGTTAATCAGGAAGCTGAGTCCTGGGAGGCCCCACTTTTTCCATTTTAAATTTGCTGTAAATCTGCATGAGTTTCATCAGCACCAGGAGTCCCCTCACCACACCTCGAGTTTCTAGATCTTCTCTCATCTGTAGTGGACATCCAACTCAGCACTTCAAGATTATAGCCTGGGGTTTGTAATTACTTGCCCATTATCTTTCCATTTACATAATACTCCCAAATGATCTTTTTTTTTTCATGTCAAAAACACAAGTCCATTGCCTCATTACTTTTTCAATCCATTATTTCTCTATTTTTTTCATTGTTCTTCTTATCTGCGTGAGATTACTTCATCTTTCCATATACTCTGGCCAATATGCTAAACTCTCTTTCTTTTGGGTCTCATTATATTGGCAGAACAAAAACCAACAAAACCAATAAAAACAAAATTAAAAGTCCTGGATGATCCCAACTCTATGTGCTTTTCATGCCTCTGTCTGCACCCAAACCGTACACACTGCCTTCAAGTCAATTCCAACTCACAGTGAACTTACGCAGCAGTTTTGAGACTGTAAATCTTGACAGGAACATACAGCCTCATCTTTCTCTCTGAGAGCAGCTGGTGGGTTGGTTTTGAACTGCCCACTGTGGTTAGCAGTTCAATGCCAAGCCCGCAGCATCACCAGGCTTCCTTTATATTTGCGCAATCTAGTGTCATTAAGAGCCCTTGATAGATGTATTGTTTATCTCTTCAAAATAATGTTAGTCAATTATAAGTGGACCCTGATTGCAGATCAGGGTTTGCCTAGTTCACTTGCTCTTCTGGCTTTTGAATGCTATTTCAGATTTTTCCACGCCCCTCAAGTCTCCAAGCCTTTGCTTTCCATTTGCTCTTGTTCATCTTAGCGGAATTCTTATGCCTCAGGGAACATAAACACTTCCAATGGGAATCCCTTCAATTTTACACGATCCAAAAACCAACCAAGCTATCTGCACACCTACCCTTTTCCCCTGCCCTCCTGACTTAATAAAGGAGGTGTCTTCCAGGCTTTTATTTAGAGTCATCTCCTCATATTTCTGCTACTAGGCATTCTTTGTTTTCCCTTTCTCATGCCCAAGTAGCATTGGGTGCACCTTAAATAAAATCTCTCTCCTGACTACATCCCCTCCAGTGATTAATCTTTATCTTACCTTCTTCACTGATGAACGTCTCAAAAGAGTTGCTTGTGGTCATTTGTACTTCCTCATCTACTACTCATGTCTCACTCCATTCTACTCTGATTTTGGAACGCTCCCCAAATTGTACTCAAATGGTTATACCCTTCAGGTCAGTAAATGCAACGAACATTTTTCAACCATCATTTCATTTCATCTATAAGTAATCTATGTTACTCAAACTACTCTTTCCTTTTTTTTTTGAAACCATTTTATTGGTATTTCATCTATATATACAATTCAATAGTTCATTCATATTAAGAAGAGTTGTACAATCATTACTACAATCATTTTTTAACATTTTCTTCATCCTAGTACTCATTGATGTTAGTGTAATTTTTTTTTCAAATTGTGGTAAAAATATACATAACAAAGCATTCTCCAATTTAACAACTTCTATATGTACAATTCAGTACCATTGATTATACTCTTCAAGTTATACAATATTACTGATATTTTTCCCCAAATTATTCCACTACCATTAATATAAACTCAATGCCCCCTAAGCAAAAACTCTTCCTCCTTGATCCATGGTAATAATTGATCAACTTTGGTTTCTTCTTCTTTGTTTTTTTAGTAGTTTTCTTGGTATTAATAATATTCACATATCATACATTTCCATAGTTGTCACTTAAGAATCATTTTATTGGGGGCTTGTGCAACTCTTATCGCAATCCATAAATACATCCATTATGTCAAGCACATTTGTCCATTTGTTGCCAGTTAAGTCACTTTTAAGAAGAGTTATATACACATCATCACAATCAGTTCTAGTACTCCCTCTCCATCCCTGAACAATCACTGCATCAGTTACTGTCTCTACGCATCCACTCCTTCTGTACCTCATAAACTGGGAAACCTAATAGAAACAATATAAACAAAAACATAGCAAAAGAGAAATACGGAAAAAGAAAATAATAATGATAAAAATAAAAAGAAAGAA